AATTTTCTATGAGATTCATTTTCTTCAGCAAGGATGCATTAAATTGATCAAAAGGGACAGTAAAGACTTTCAAATTGTATAAAAAAAATCTAACTCAATATGATGTCTTTTTAAACTTTTTATTTATCAAAGAAAGAATGCCAAATATGCATTATGGTTTCCACAAAAATATTAAGCAGCACATCCATTTTCAATATTGATATGGAATTAAAATAATACATTATATTTTAAAATATATTCAAACTGTAAAATTAAATTGTAACAATATATCTCAACATTACTGTTTTTACTTTATTTTTAATCAAATAAATGCAGACTTGGTGAATATAAGAGACTCGAAAAATCTTACTGACCACAAACTTTTGAAAAGTTTGTGTATTATATGCAAACATGAGTATAACATGAAGGTGCGTAAATATTTCATGGTGAACTACTAAGGGTCAGGGTTAGTGACATTGCAAATGCTGCCTTAAGTAAGAGAATGTGCAATTCTGTACTTTATCATTTAACTACAAACTACCTGGCCATGAACACTGAGGTAACATTCTGTTTGCTTGTTTAAGGTCTTGATAGAATACGTGGCTCTTTTCTACATCAGGGTGAGGGCTACGATCTGTCAGGTCTTCCCACCAGATTACACACTTACACAGGGGTCACAAAACCGGGTCTCTGACATCTGTCACGCACACAGGGTTTCCTGCGGACAGCGGTACAAGACAGGAAACAATTCAGGCAAACCTACCCAGAGGACATCCGATCACATCCACATGTGCAACAAATAATCTATCTCCAGAAATCCCCAAAGACAGAGAGCGAGTGAAGAGGAGAGAAAGAGAGAGCGAGCGAGATTTATTAACAGCCATAGGCTATTCAGGTCTGCGGTTGTTCAACGATAAGTCCGCTGATAACCAGTCATTTCCTGAGAACAGACCATACAGTGTGCACCACTTTTGTGGAATTGCAAAATTTCCATTTCCACTTCTATATTCTTAGACACTGTATCATATTTAACCCCCACGGTCCGGGCCAGACAGTATCAGCAATTCCCCATTGGCTGCAGCACACAGGCTAAAATCCAATTTCTGTGATAAGCTTCAGATTTGCCGTGAGGACTGGCGTTGCGTTCCTCTTTGGATTGTACGCGTTTATCCAAGAAAAGGGCAACAGAGACGGATCGGAAGTGGCAAGGGGCATGATGGCCGTGTGGGTGTGGTATCAAGCTCAGACAGGTGTAGAATGATGATTCAATTCATGTTCACACTGCTTCACTCAAGAATCACCTCTTGCTTTCCAACCCCTGATCCCCAAACACAGTCCCTAACCAGCATCAGAGAAACTACTTTCGCTAGATTGCCATCTGCCAAAACATTAAAAAAATTATATAATTAAAAACATAACATTCTCATTTTCCACTAGATATTTTCATCTTCATCTCATCAGCAATTTCGATTTGCAGCTGACCACTAAAGGCCCGGGTATACTTCACTTTCCACGTTCTGTTCCGTCTCACACGACCGCGTCAGCACAGCTTTCAAAGTATACTCAAACGCGGATGAGCAAGGATGAACGAGCTTGACACATGTGCAGTGTATCGCCTACTTGACTCACTCTGTCTCAGCAATCACCTCGCGCCTGCGCTGTTGTACGCGGACTGCCCGCGCGGGGAATCACGATCCCGGCTCAACATTATGATGTCTGTCAGCCATCGGCGATGGACGATGGTATCGTCTATTGGCCCAACCCTAAGGCACACAATTATCTATAGGCTAATTCTCTATAATTAGCCAATTTCACACATGAAACACAACAAATTGCAGTAAAATGGCCTGATTACTTTTTCCAATATCGTGCGCAACAACTTAGCATCTTTCATCTGTATTGCTACCATTAACACATCTGTATATCTACATAACAAAATGCTGAAAAACTATGATATCATTTTGGAAATTTTAATCTGTAGACAAATTTCTTTATCCACTTGGTCTTTTGCTTATGCAGCTGACAAATCTGACATTTCTTTCCACTACAAAAATGAATGTGATTTTTGACAGTCATCTTACAGGTAAACGGCATGGTTTAAGTGTGTCAGTAATTTGCTCAAGATCTGTCTTACCTCAAAGCACTTTCACCTCGTATGTGTTCAAACCAAACTTGTAAAATTGTTCACACATACCATCAATACATACGTTTTCCACCAATGTTACAACTTCTTAAGCTTGCAAAACAGCTCAAATGAACAACTTTCTCACATTTCCATAATACTTATGTTACCATTTCAACAACAGTAGGTTCTGTTTAGATATAGTGGTTGACCGATGAGAGTTTTTCAATGGTTCCCAAAAAATATTAAGCAGCACCACTGTTTTCAACACTGATAATAACAAGAAATGTAAATTAGAATTTGAAGACTGGAGTAATGATGCTGAAAATTCAACTTTGCAGGAATAAATTAAATTTTAAATGTTTAAATAGAAATCAGTTATATTAAATAGTATTATTTTTGCAAAGTTTTTACTGTATGTGTGAGTATATATATACAGTGGGTACGGAAAGTATTCAGACCCCCTTAAATTTTTCACTCTTTGTTATATTGCAGCCATTTGCTAAAATCATTTAAGTTAATTTTTTTTCCTCATTAATGTACACACAGCACCCCATATTGACAGAAAAACACAGAATTGTTGACATTTATGCAGATTTATTAAAAAAGAAAAACTGAAATAACACATGGTCCTAAGTATTCAGCAGCCAGAGCCCTGACTTAAACCCAATTGAGCATCTCTGGAGAGACCTAAAAATGGCTGTTCACCAACGTTTACCATCCAACCTGACCGAACTGGAGAGGATCTGCAAGGAGGGATGGCAGAGGATCCCCAAATCCAGGTGTGACAAACTTGTTGCATCTTTCCCAAAAAGACTCATGGCTGTATTAGATCAAAAGGGTGCTTCTACTAAATACTGAGCAAAGGGTCTGAATACTTAGGACCATGTGATATTTCAGTTTTTCTTTTTTAATAAATCTGCAAAAATGTCAACAATTCTGTGTTTTTCTGTCAATATGGGGTGCTGTGTGTATATTAATGAGGAAAAAAAAATTAACTTAAATGATTTTAGCAAATGGCTGCAATATAACAAAGAGTGAAAAATTTAAGGGGGTCTGAATACTTTCCGTACCCACTGTATATATACATACACTTTTTTTTAACACAAGATTTACTCAAAATGAACAATAGCATTATATTTACGCTAAAGTGTACTTAAGATTTATCAAGAATTAAAGGGCCTACACAAAATTGTACAATTACAGGGGGGTGGCCACATCGTTTTGGCCACGTAGTGTATGTCAGATTGCAAAATTATATTTCTGAACACCACCAGCCAAGCGAAGTCTTTTCCGTCACGCATTTCCTGTCAGACATACACACAGTAGAAAGAAGAAAAATGAGATAGAAGAAGAGATGGCAATCTAGCGACTTTGGCTCTGGTGCAGAACTGTCTATCAAGTAACGCTATCTAGAAATTGGCATGCAAGGGAAGAACTCACTGAGGTGAATCACATGACATTATGGAGGTCACGCATGGGTCCAGCCACCTAAAGAGCCCAGATACAAGCCAGAAATAAGAGTATTTTACAGACCACTGGTGCACCTGCTTCTTTCAGAACTCTCAAATTCTGTTTTTAATCGAAACCCATGAGTAATACAATTCATAGGACTTAAAACTAGTCACACTTTACTGGGCTGCCAAAGGACCCCTAGAGAGGCTCCAAAAAAAGGGGAACGAAAAAGTACTTTATCATCAAATGAAGAGTGTGCTGGAACGTTGAATTTTAAATTCCAGCACCTGGCTGGATAACAACGCTAAATGAGATCAAATTGACAGCCCAAGTACCTTAGAGACCGTATGTCTTGTGTGGTTCACACATGCACACACACATGCAAATGTCATCATGAGAGGCTACAATCACTTTTGTGGCATCTGCTCACTATTTTTTTTCAGAGCACAAATTGTTTCATACAAAGAAAATTAAATGTTGATCTTTAATTAAAGATGCCTTTCATTCGCTGTGATTAGAAAAGATTCACAATGGCAAAGCTCAATGTCTCCTAGCCATCGATTTTAATTGAGGCTTGATTACATATACAGTAGCGGGTCATGCTTTTTGTAATTTGAAATATTTTCAGCTTTATTGAAAGACCGCACTGGGTTTATTTCTCTTGGGCATAGTGCAGCCTAGTACAAAAGACTATATTCCAATCACTGGATTAAACAAACGTGGCACGTTGAGAGCGATGATTAATTCATGGACGTATTCTCCATTTCATACATTTATGAAGAACGTTGCCCGTTAAAAATACATTTATGTATTCCAAGCACACCTGGCTCTTCTTTAAAACTTTCAGCAGGGGACAGCTTTCACTTCCACACACTGAGGACTGTTCCCATGCTCTGTCTGGAGTTTTACAGACACCAAGCCCCTTTTAATAGCTCAAAAACATATGTATCAGATTGCTATCTTAGAATTTATCAAGGAACAAAATTTCAACCTCAGAACAGGAATTAAAATGGAAAATTTCTCTAAATGGGCTAAACGCATGCATGCTTTCAGCACCAGAGTCAGCTCCCAATTTCATGAGCTCAAGACATTCTACATTAGGACATAATAAAAAAAAGTGAGATCAGGCAGAAAAGCTACACCTCCTTTCAACGCAGTGTCTTAAATGCAGCATGAAACCATAAGCATCCTTCTTAAGGCTGATAAAATCCTAACACTGAGCATCTTATTTTTTTTATGTTTTTTTTTATCTCTGTTGCATGCAATACATATCCAATAGAAAGTTCCTTGATGCACGAAACCTTTCAGGCTAAATAAGACACTTTGCACTTCACTTCTATTCAAAAATCTAATCCGAACACCCAAAAACGCGAGAAATTATGCAAGTTGACTGAAAGGCTTCAGTGCACAAAACGCAATTATGAAAAGAGAATCTCTTACCCACTTTCCCGATGCTTGATAATTCCAAGAACAGAAGTCAAACTACTCTTCCATCTCTCCAATGAGCCGTGCGTAACTTTCCAATGGATGGTCAGCACCTGGAAATTTAGATGCGCTGGGAAACTAAGGTGAGCTTTAGTCTATGGCAGTTCAGCCACACAGAAAAAGAAGCGAGGCGAGCACCGGAGTGTACCGGTGGATAGTGTCTTTAGCCGCGTTCTCACGCGCTGCTGATGCGGTGCGTGCGCGGCAAAGCATACAGATCTCTCCGCGCTGTCACTGCGCTCTGCTTCCCCGGGTCCTAAAGCTGAACCGCAGCGCCGCTGAACTTTAATGAGTTATTGCACCGCGAGCATTGCATTGTATCTTCCCGAATACGTCTTCATCCTTCCAACAATACCCTAATGTACAAAATACAATCAAACTGTTTTGATGATTGTAGTGACATGTTCGGTCGTTCTTACAAGAAATGTAAGCTCAAAGCAGTAAAATATTATAAATAGGCCTAAAAGAGATAGTTAATGCTCCAATATAAATTAAAAGAGTTGTATGGCTTTTGGTGCGTGTCTGGCCGCATTGAGGAAATGATTTTTCAAAGTTGAAATTAAAACAAAGATTGCTGGAGTACATTTTACAAGAAATGAATCGTTCCAGTTTTTATACTTTACATGTTCTTGCTTAATTAATTCTGTTACTGTTTCTTTGTAATTGTTTGTGAAATTTACTAGCAATTTCTGAGTGAAAATTGTTTCTACACCAAATTTTTCTCAGCGTGCTAAGTTAGTAGTACTTCCAATTGTTGACAAAAGCAATTCTTATTAGCAGACATGCATTTTAAACGTACAGTCTATATCTTAAGGGAAAACAGAACAAAAATATTGATGACTCCTCTTTCACTGCACTGATATGTGCTCAAACAAACGCGTTTGAGAGTAAAAATTAAGCTCCTGCTAATATGCCAGTTTTGTTTACAAACTAAAGGCCGCGCGCCTCACATCCGGGGTCTTCATGTAACTGCTGATTCCCGTTATGCCATACCGCGGTAACGATTATTTACAATACCATCAATTGGTTATGCCATACCGCGGTAACGATTATTTACAAGACCATCGATTACCAGTTTCATCAGTCCCACAAACAACGAACAGTTCAGAGAATCAACTAATGAAATAGTAGCCTAGACTAATTATTTATTCGGGTTATGAATAACATGGAAAGGTTTAAGTGCTTCCAATAAGGCCTATAAAGTAGTCTAAAAATGACTCTAAATTCTGATCGGTTAAGCCATAAATAAACATACTGTTTAATGCAGTTGTAAAATTGCTGAAATAGGATAGCATATTCAAATTCAAAAGTATTAAAGTTGGCGTGAAATTAAAATTAACCTTATTTATTTTCTAAATGCATATTGTAGTGAATAATTCATCCATGCCTATCCTTTTATAATTTAATAATTTAATAATAATTTATGCATTTAGCAGACGCTTTTATCCAAAGCGGCTTACAGTGCATTCAGGCTATACATTTTTTACCAGTATGTTTATTTATTTAATTATTTGACCTCGTGGGATTTTTTTTTTTTTTTACTTTTCTGTTATATCCTGACTTTGATGGCAAGTTGCTACAGTATGTAGCTTGGCAAGCATAAACGCTAGGCTATACAGTTATACTAATGAGATATATTACTTGGCATAAGAACTTTGATTTTCGTCAACGATAAATGTAAAAAAAAAATTGAACAGTAATGTTTTCTATCATATTTTTTGCCACCATTTTTTTTACACAAGCCACTTGAGGTTTTACTGTTGGTATTGATTTATTAAACTCAATTAAAGTGCAGTTTTAAAAAATATATATACGAATAGAGTTGTATAATTTCCCCCCAAAAAAGTAAATGGACTCTAAATTCTTATTTAGAGAACCATGTTCAAAGCTGTTGTAAAATATCTACAATTGGCACACATGAGTTGAATTTGCTATAGGCCTAAGTTGCTACATTGCTTGGCAACCATAAACGCCCTACAGATTTTCTAATGAACTAAATTGTCAGTAATATATGTCAGGATTTATTGAAAATTAGTGTCTTTTACCATATTGTTTTGCCAGCAATGGTCTCATTGTACTATATCAACATCAAGTTTTGACAGTGATTTTGCATTCTATCTTCTTTGGAACTGTAATGAGTATAAGAATGGTATAATATAAGTTTATTAATGGGGATTTCTATAGTTTTGCATACTGAGTTATGTTGTCTTTATTGCACATGGCGTTTATTAATTCATTGGGTGTTTAATTCATTTTCGAGGTGGGTGTGTAGGGCAATTAATCATAAGCATGTAGCTAAATTAAAAGTGTGACTCCTAAATCGAATATGCATTATGAACTGACATTAATTTGTTAATATTAAGCTTTGCTACTTCCCCATTCAGTCATTCACACTTTCACATGTCTTTGTCCACAACATGAAGTTGTTTATTTGTGAAATGGTCAACCTATTTATAGATACTTGGCATTCAGGGACCCCAACTTGTCATTCATTGGCAGGACCAAGCGATCCACACAGAATTAAACAGACCTTTGTGCTCCAGCCACCCATGCAATACATTTACCAGGCCTGACCATTGTAGGAGTGTGGGGTCACGTCCAATGGGAATGGGAGGGACGCCCGTCATTTCCAATGTGCTGCCACTCACCTCATCTGACAATATAGAGAGACACTCCATCCCGTCTAATGTTTGGTGACCACAAAGGCAGATCAGTCTGCGAGCACCGCTCCCTTCGTCTGTGATTAAAACCTTCATCAGAAGCGCCCTGAGCTTGGCTTAGTCCTCCAGTTTTGAGTCCCTCACATTAGGCAGCTGTAACTACATTATTGAGTAATTACTTTCAAGGTCTCAGTGTTTTCGTGTTGTCAAGCCACAATGATGGATGAGTGCGAATATCAGTAATACTGTGTCTCTCAGGGCGAGATTCTCCTGAGAAATTTGACGAACCTAATAAAAACTGCCAGAAAATCTATAAAAGTCCCAATAAATAAATAATTCCTATAATCATCACAGTTCCAAAGAAGACACAAATAACAGTCTTGAAGTCGATGCAAGTGAGTTGTTTCCTCAAGCTTTAAATTACAGTTTTTTATGTCATGTGATTATGAGTGGACACAAGGTTATTAGGATGCATAAAAAGTCATTTGCATGCATTTAAACAATTCAAAAAGCTGCCAACAGACTGGCAGAGCAGCAGGCTGGTGTATTACACAGCAGCTTGTAAAAACAGTGGTCAAGAGAGCATTACAGTAACAGTCAGACAGAGCTTAAAATGGACTTCCACACACAATTTCGGCCCTCATGTCAGTTTTTTCTTTTTTCTTAAGGCTTTAAAATGCTATTGCCATCAAAAGTTTTCCCAAAAAGTGAATCTCTCTGACTGAATGAAATTCTAATTTTGGCTACCATAAATGCCTATTAGAAAAATAGAAAAGTCCCAATAATTCCGATCCTCATCAGAGTTCCAAAGAAGACACGGTGCAAAATAACAGTCTTGAAATTGATGTAACTGAGTTGTTTCCTCAAGCTTTAGATGACAGTTATTGATGTCATGTGATTATGAGTGGACAAATGGTTATTTAGCATGCTAAAAAACTATTTGCATGCATTTAAACAAACTGAAAAGCTGCCAAACAGACTGGCAGAGCTGTGCAGGTTTACTAGACAGCAGTTAGTTAAAACAGTGGTCAAGAGCATTATAATAGCAGTCACATGGGACCTAGCATGGACTTCCACACAGTTTTTTCTTGAGGCTTTGAAACGCTCAATACTGCCATCAAAAGTCATAAAAGTTCTTACTAACAAAATTCTGATTCAATGAATCAGGTTCAAAGCCTTTCTAAAATAGCTCAAATTGGCACATAACCTCACATTAGCTGAATTCGGAATAAGCTTGGTAACCATAAATGTCTACTGGAAAAATATAAAAGTCCTATTAAAAAGTAATAATAATAATTCCGATAATCATCACAATTCCAAAGAAGACATGTTGCAAAATAAGTTTTGAAGTTGATGTGAGTTGTTTCTTCAAGCTTAGATGACAGTTTTTGATATCAAATGATTATGAGTAGACAAAAGGTTATTAAGCATGCATAAAAGCTCATTTGCATGCATGTAAACAATTGGAAAAGCTGCCAAGCAGATTGGCAGAGCAGCGAGCAGGTGTACCAGTCAGCAGCTGGTAAAAACAGTGGTCAAGGGCATTTGTGGCCCCCATGTTATTTTTTTACTTGAGGCTTTGAAATGCTCCCTACCTCCATCAAAACCAGAGATCCAAGCTATTGAAATGGATTGCTTGGAGTGAAAGAGTATGTTTTCACCCTGCTGATATTTGCACAGGCTATACCCCAGTTTATTCAGGAACACAATTCTCATTTCCTGGCCTTTCTGTAGGGACAAAGTTTCCACCTAAAAGCTTCATGTAGTGCATTGCAAAAAAGAAAAAGAAAAACATTCTGGCTTCATGCTGTTGGTTAGACAGCTGGTTAGTGGGAGAGGGTGAGACAGCTAAGTTCTCACTGCAGATGACTCGATAGGCTTCCATCCGATAATGTCCATGAGATGACACCCAAGTTCTTGATCAACAACAACCTGGACGCAAGTTACCAATGTGTTTTGATTCTTAGATTCCCAAATGTAACTTTGGTGATTCAGTTTAAATATTCAAATTTGGCAAAACATGAAGTCTGAACTATTTAGCAACAATCTTTTGAGTTTCCTTCTAGCATAAGGCAACACATGCTGGAGGTTCAGGCTTGGAAGCAAACAGATGGGCCGAGATGAGATGATTTCAATCAAAATACAAGATCTCTTCCATCTGGGCTCTCACGGCACTTTGAAGCTAAAGTGTAATGTGACTATGTGAAGGCTATCTTTCATTTAATGCTCTTCTGCCAGCTGGAGATGGAGACAGTGGTATTAAATGGAAATATTGTCAGATCTGAATTTAAGACGAGAAAATCCTTAGACAAACGTGGAACGGTTTGGGAGTTGGATGTCAGACTTTGGATATTAGGAGGTTGTGCTTTTCAAATCAGACGTACCGGTTGAATTTGCATCTCGTAGGTGAACTTCTCTGCCTGTAATTTCTTTTTTATGCCCGCTTATAGGTGCTTTTGCTGGGAGGCCCAGACCCTGACATGGAACCGGTCTCATTAAAACTCACATCAT